TGGCATTACTATAGTGTACCGCCGCACTTGGCAACTGACAGCTATTTAGGAAAATACTCCATGTAACACCCTGATGTACATTAAAAATAAAGCCATAACATGGCCTAGTACTGCAAAGGCACTTATGGGAGTGCTAAGCACTTTCAAGAGAGCGGTTAAGACTGAAAAAGAACAGGACTGCACTTGGCAAAAGCACACAAGTGGGCTTGAGCTGTACTGTATGGTTTTATTCCTTAAGTGGGTGGTGGCATGCTTACGGCTGCTCATTGTCTTATTCTTCTCACCTTATATAGAAGGTGAGTATTTCATAGATAAACAGGCTGAATGCTACATACATGTTTTATAAGATTTTTTATAAAAGAAAAATAAAATATTCAAAAATTATATATCTATATGGTTAAATTACCGAGGAATAGAGAAGGGTTTCTCAGTCAATGCTCCAAAGACAGAAAACCATAAAGAAATGACTGATTGAAATACGTTAAATTGAAGTCTTTTTTTTCTATCAAAAAAAAAAAGAATAGCTGGGTGTGGTGGCACATGCCTGCATTTCCAGCATTCTCAGGATCAGTGAGGCAGGAGGATCACAGAGTTTGAGACCAGTGTGGGCTACAAATTGAGCTCAAGGCCCGCCTAAACTGCATAGTGAGACCCTGTCTCAAAAGGTGAAACCAACAAACACCCAGTGAATTGCTGAACCAAATTAAATTCACCAAAAATCTGCTTGTGATCACAGAAACACTCAACCTAATGCATTAGTAATTAAAAATGTTAACAAATATTCAGTGGCAGAGGGGGCCCGCGAGATAGCTCAGCCATCTAGGTCTAAAGTGCCCGCTTAGTTAGGCAAGCTTAGGCAAACGGGCAGGGACCGAGTTCCAACGACCCCCATCACATTCGGCGCCAGCCCCGCCCCCAACGTGGGCTGAGCCGGCCACGCGCGCAGACACACGCACGCGCGCGCAAACACGCACGTCAGAAATATTTATAATCTGTTTAACAAAATAAAGTATCTACAAAGCAGCGAGTAGGATTTGTTTTAGATATAAAAACCTACAGGTATGTAAAAATATATTAGAAAACAGAATGTAAACCCAGTATGTGATATTGTCTTCTTGCACTGGATCATGAGTGATTTTTTACATCCAATTATGTCTAATTTTCTATGCTGATTATCTCTTAATGCAAATGTATTGTACAGTCACTTTTAGCTCTCCCTCCGTGGTTCTCTGGAGAACCCGGCCTCTCGACGGATCCTGAAGGCGCGGCCCTAAACCCTGTGCGCCATTCCTCCGATATTTTACCCCTGCAACGACCTCTAGGCAATCTCCAAGGACTGTGGGTTAGGCCTATTTTTTTTTTTTTTTTTCCATCAAACATAGTAGACCTCCGAAAAATACAGAGAAAGAATCCCATCTTGGCCAGAGCCCAGTGCAGCCTGGCGGCTGCGCCCACACAGAGCAGGCGGCCGCCGAGATCCGCGGAGGCCACGCCCAGGCGGAGGCCTCACTGTCCCGGTGAGCAGTCCAAGAGGCAGATGTGCACGGGTCCGCGCCCCCTCCTCAGTCTCTCGCTGCAGTTCTGGGCGAGGTGCGCACTGTGGACCATTCTGCAGAATGGTCCCAGGCTCGGTTTCTTCTTTGTGCACCTATTCA